CAGACTGGGAGCAGCAGGTCCCTCCTGCTGCGGGGCTCCCCCCGCACTTGCTTTGGGTGTTTTCCCTGGGGTTTCACTGCGCTGGGCAGGGGGGAGGGAGAAGGAAGGGCAGGGAGGGCTGCCCTGACCCCCGAGCCCGCCTCTCCCGCAAACACCCGCAGGGATCAGGGTCTTCCCAACGCGCTGCTGTTGTGAATCAAACATTGAACGTGGTTGCTCGGGCAGGGCGACTGTTTCAGGGCTGCTGGGAGGTGTTGCTGCCCGTGTTCCCTGTCCCCAGGGTGCCAGGTTCCCTTTCCCCCAGGAATGTGGGCCCTGGGGCACTCCAGGACCTGCAGTTCCCAGTGGGAAGGCTCCCCCATCTGCCCTCCACCCACCCAGCTCTGCAATCCCTTCCAGATGGGCAGATGGGCTGGTGAAGGGCCCCTTTGATTTCAAAAGGTCTCTCTGCAAACACAAAGGTCACGGTGGCAGCAGGATCAGGGCCTCAGAGAAAGGGCTTTGCAAGGAGGAGCACAGAAATAATTAGAAACAACCATTTCAATCTGTGCTCCCAGGCAAGGAGATCACACTTGTACAAGTCCTGCTTTTTGTGGGGCCTCGTGCAAGTTTTTAACCCTAAATTTTCACAGCCTCCCTCAAACAAATGGTCTCCTTGAAGTGCTTCTCAGGGTAACAGCAGGGCTGGAAATAAGAGCAGAGGGGAAGAAAAAGTTAAGAGGTGCCAACAAGGGAGAAAAGAAATGGGAAAGGGATACAAAAGAGAGGCAGGGCCCACAAGGTAGAAACCTACAGGAAGACAGTTCCTCGTGACAAAAGCTACACAGGAGAAGGCCCCACTCACATTTATCCAGAGGAGATTATGCAAAAAGACTGGAGGACCCCAGCAGGGGCTGGAAAGAGAAGTGCCATGAGGTCACTGGGCACAAATAACCCTTGGGAGGCTTCCAGTCCACAGGGCCATACTCACTTGTTGGGCCAGACCAGGAATCAGCTTCCTTGCTGCACCAGGGCTCCTGCAGGCCCAGCATCTTGCAGCTGAGCCCCAAGCACCAGAGCACAGCACGGTCCCACCTCTGAGCTGGGGGAGAAAGGGGGGTAAAGGCTCTACACATCTCCAGGCTGTGCAAGGAGGGGGTTGAGCCACCATCCCTGGAGACATCTAAAAAGACAGATGCGATGCCAGGGAACAGGGTTTAGTGGTGGACGTGGTAGATTTAGGGTAGTGGTTGGACTTGATGATCTTTTTCAGCCAGAGTGATGGATCTGTGAATCTGCAGGAAGAGAATCCCAGCTGGAGGTCTGAGCTGTGCCCACTGGGAACCTGGATCCTGGGGTATAAGAGGGAACTCAAGACTGTCCTGCACTCTGTTGCCAAACTAGCTGAGAAGAAGTGGGATCATTTTTCTCCTGGTACCTCCATGAGCAGAGGAAATCAGCAAGCAGGCTGTCTCAGAGAGCTCTTTCCAAGGCTCAGCACCTTGCCAGGAATGCTATGGTCCTGCAGATTGGAATCTGAGCAGGGCAAAACTGAACCTGGAATCTGACCTGGGAATGGTAGATTTGATCCCAGAATGAATGGACATGCAGACAAGAAACACTGGGCTTCAGAACACTGCCAGGCAACAGAATAAAAGAGCAAGTAGCTCTTTAGCTGATAATAGAGAAAAGTAATCCAGGAGTGCAGGAGAGAGAACTTTGCTGAGATTGGAATCAGACTGAAAGCTGACAGGTGAAAGGGACAGACCCTGCTGGTCAGCACCCAGTGAGAGGGTTTGCACAGGTTAGTGGTGGATGGAGAATTACTGAACAGCAAGAACAGCTCAAAGACTTTGGGACAGGTCTGAGTGGCCAAACTAATACTTTACTAGTGTTAATCAGCTTCTTCTACCTTTACTGTTTGCTAATATGGGACAGCTCTTCATGCATGGCATCTCTTTCCTGAGCTACAGGAAAGGTGGAACATGCCTTAACAGTTCAGTGTTCCCATTGCAGGATCAGTTGCTGAGTTACATTTAGTTGTAATGAATGTTAATGGTCTGGGCCAAGAGTTTCTGGTATGTGCACTATGGAGGAAACTTCCATTAAAATACCTCAGCCAATGTTTGAGAACAAGGTTAATGAAAAATATGCTGTTAAAAGAAAACACTCTGCACTGGACTTTGTTGTGAAGTTCCAGGGCTGTGTGTGGGAGCAGGGGATTACAATCTGACCTGGGGTTTGCCTTGGTGCCTTAGATGCATCCTTTGTCATCCCTGGGGAAAACCATCAATATTTAGCCAAGCTACAAATCTTCATTCCCTCTTCCTCACCTCCAGACTTCATTGACAGCAGCTCAGTGTCACAGCAGCCCCTTGGAAAAGAGGGAAAGGATCAGTGCCCACAGAGACCTGGACTCACGACTGTAAAAGCTTAGAGCTTTAGCAGAGGCAAGGGAAAAACAGAAGGAGGTGTGAGAAGTCCTACAGCATCCCACACAGGCTCTGTGGGTAAACTGCTTCCAACAGCCTTGCCTTCCCTGCATGCAAATTTATCAGGCAAACACAAATGTTTGCAGCCAGCCTGTCTTCACCACTTACCACCCACTTGCTGTTGTGTACCTGCTGTCCAGCTGGATGATGCATCACTACCTGCACTGGCTTCACCCTTCATCCATTCCAGGATTCCATCCACCCCATCCCTCACCCCCCCCAGCCCTCTCCACCCCCAAATTCTTTCTCCTTTTAATGCAAAATCAGGCTGCTGCAATTACCTCTTGTGCAGGCTCAGATGCTTCTTGCCCAGCCCCCTGAACACAGGAGCATCCAAGACCAAAGAGAATGAAGGCCCTTTCCCCTTGCTGTTTCACCCCAAAGTGAGTAATCAGTCAATACTCCCGAGGCCATTAAGCATCTGAAGTTGACCCTCCCATGGAGGACAGAGCAATAATTACTGCTACTTTCTCATCAACTTACAGTAAGGCTCTGTGGCCAGCTTTTCTTATTATGAGCATGAAACCAAGGTATTTAAACCACCACAACAACAGTACCACCAATAGATCAAAGAGTGAGGCTGTTTGTTGTGAATGAGCTGCTTACTCTAAGAAACACTCTGGGTAAGTCAGTGGGGAGCTGGGCTGAGGGAGGCTGGGCAGTGGGGAGAGTGGCTTGCTGAGAACTGCTCTGCTGCCAGCAGGAA